AGTTTAACATGGTCTGAGACGACCAAGAGAGAATACGGACTGGTCGTTCAGTCGGACTTGTGGGGTGGAGTAAAACAGACCACAAGCCAACATAACGGACCAAACTAGAAGGTTTTCAGATGTTTGTCAAGTGACTGAATATTATCCTTAGAAAAAGAACTACGTACAATCGAAACATACTAACAATCCATAACTGTTTGTCCAGACAAAGTGATTAGGTTGGATCTGTAGATTTGTAAATCTTGACAGTTAATAATCTACTGGACCAACACAACCTTATTGAGGACCACCCACTCTGGCCTCAATTATACTCCTGTAAGGTGCTGTGTCTTCTGTCCTACTCTGATGACCAGCAGTCAGTCACTCAAAGGAGGAAATTACAATTAGACACCTGTCAATCTCCTTAATTAACAATGATCGAAAACTCTAGAGCCCTGGGCCATGTGATACAAAAGACAACGAAGGATTACGCCTAAAGTCCCCCGGTACAATATACAGTCACTGTATTAACCCAAGGGATTACAACTAGCCCAAACCAACTCACATTTCCCCAATACACATGTTCTTCCATTACAAACCAACTCACATTTCCCCCCCAATACAAATGTTCTTCCATTACTGTAGTGATGCAAGAAGAGAGCTAAAACAGTTGGTCAAGTTCTAGGCCTAGAACTTTCAGTTTGGAAATAGAATTCCATGGGATAAGACAATGAAACTGCAACTTTAAATGGTGTGACAAAGTTGCTGCTAATACAATGTGACTGGATGTCAGAAGACTAATGGCGACCAGCGGTGTCTCCCCGGTGGGTCATTACACAGCAGCCATTTTCATTAGGCACAACAAAACCCTGCAGCATGTTTCAGAGACAGCACGTTGACACATCACCGCAGGAGGTAGTGATGCAGTCAAAGGGGAAGTTAACTTTGCTTTCAGCCCTCCCTAGTCTACCACACATCCAATCAAATGGGATCCTCCCAGAAGGCTTTTCTCAGAGGGGCCAGTGTGTCCAGAAGCACTTGACAATCTCATTACCACCCCCAGTCTCCCAGAGCAGCCAGCACCACTAATCAGCAAACAGGGACACCGGGAGGGACACAGGAGCCCCCCAACCCAAACACAAAGGCCCCAGCCGGACCAGGGTGATTACTGACAACCTAGTGGATCCTCTCAGAGAGACAGTTAAAAGCAACAAAAGCATGTCTTTGAACTCCGAGCACACTACCGTCCTAGAGTTGTTTTCTAGTCTCGTCTCAATAACTAGTCTGGCTAATTGTGCTGTTGGGACCAATAATGCCACGTCTGCATGTATACAGTGCCTATAGAAAGTCTACACCCCCCTTGAATTTCTACACATTATTGTGTTACAAAGTGGGATTCAAATGTATATTTTGTCAATGATCTACACAACATACTGTCAGAGTGGAAGAACAATTCTACTATATTTTAAAGACTAAATGAAAATGAACACTAATATACCTTGATTAGATAAGTATTCATCCCTGAGCCAATACATGTTAGAAACACCTTTGGCAGCGATTACAGCAGTGAGTCTTCTTGGGAAAGTCTCATAAGACAAAGGAGATGATTGTGGACTACAGGAAAAAGAGGACGAGCACGCCCCCATTCTCATCAACGGGGCTGTAGTGGAGCAGGTTGAGAGCTTCAAGTTCCTTGGTGTCCACATCACCAACAAACTATCATGGTCCAAACACACCAAGACAGTCGTGAAGAGGGCACGACAAAACCTATTCCCCCTAAGGAGACTGAAAATAATTGGCATGGGTCCTCAGATCCTCAAAAAGTTCTACAGCTGCACCATCGAGAGCATCCTGACTGGTTGCATCACTGCCTGGTATGGCAACTGTTCGGCCTTTGACCGCAAGGCACTACAGAGGGTAGTGCGTACGGCCCAGTACATCACTGGGGCCAAGCTTCCTGCCATCCAGGACCTCTATACCAGGCAGTGTCAGAGGAAGGCCCAAAAATTGTCAAAGACTCCAGCCACCCTAGTTATACTGTTCTCTCTGCTACCGTACGGCAAGCGGTAACGGAGTGCCAAGTCTAGGTCCAAAAGGCTTCTTAACAGCTTCTACCCCCAACCCATAAGACTCCTGAACAGCTAATAAAATGGCTACCCAGACTATTTGCATTGTCCCCCCCACCCCACCCCCTCTTTCACGCTGCTGCCACTCTCTGTTTATTATCTATGCATAGTCACTTTAACTCTACCTACATGTACATATTACCTCAATTACCTCGACTAGCCTGTGCCCCGGCACATTGACTCTGTACTGGTACCCCCTGTATATAGCCTCGCTACTGTTATTTTACTGCTGCTCTTTAATTATTTGTAATGTTTTAGTTACCCATTTTTTACTTAACACTTATTTTTCTTAAAACTGCGTTGTTGGTTAAGGGCTTGTAAGTAAGCATTTCACTGTAAGGTCTACACCTGTTGTATTCGGCACATGTGACAAATACAATGATTTGATTTAAGAGCTTTGCACACCTGTATTGTACAATATTTGCCCATTATTCTTTTCAAAATTATTCAAGCTCTGGCAAGGTGATGGGGATCATGGTTAGACAGCAATTTTCAAGTCTTGCCATAGATTTTCAAGCAGATTTAAGTCAAAGCTGTAACTCGGCCACTCAGGAACATTTACTGTCTTCTTGGTAAGCAACTCCAGTGTAGATTTGGCTTGGTGTTGTAGGTTATTGTTGTGGTTCTCTGTAGCTCAACTGGTAGAGCACGGCACTTGTAACGCCAGGGTAGTGGGTTCGATCCCCGGGACCACCCATACACAAAAAATGTATGCACGCATGACTGTAAGTCGCTTTGGATAAAAGCGTCTGCTAAATGGCATATTATTATTATTTATTGTCCTGCTGAAAGGTGAATTCCTCTCCCAGTGTAAAGCAGACTGAAGCAGGTTTTCCTCTAGGATTATGCCTGTGCTAAGCTCCATCCCATTTCATCCTGAAAAACTCCTGTCTTTGCAGATGTCAAGCATAGCCATACCATGAAGCACCCACCACCATGCTTGAAAACAAGGAGGCAGTTTACTCAGTAATGTGTTGTGTTTACCCCCAAAATAAGGCTTAGCATTTATGCCAAAAAGTGTATTACTTTGCAGTGTTTTTTTTGCAGTATTACTTTAGTGCCTTGCCCATATTTTAATTCTGTAGATTTGTATTATTTTCAATCATTTAGGTCATTATCGTGGAGTCACTACAATGTTGTTGATCCATCCTCAGTTTTCTCCCATCACAGCCATTGAACTCTGTAGCTGTTACAAAAAATCCCCAATGGCCTCATGGTGACATCCCTAAGACGTTTCCTTCCTGTCCTGCAACTCAGTTCAGAAGGACGGCTGCATCTTTGATTTGTCTGGCTGGTTTAACACATCCATCAGCCACAGCATAATTACCATGCTTAAAGAGATATTCAATGTCTGATTTGTTATCGTTACCCATCACTGCCCTTTCTTTTGAGGCATTCGAAAAGCTCCCTGGTCTTCCTAGTTGAATCTGTGCTTGAAATTCAATACTTGACTGGGGAACCTTACAGATGTTTGTATGGGGAAAGAGGAAGGGTAGTTATTTAAAAAATCATGTCAACTCCCATTATTTCACACAGACTGAGATCATATAACTTAAGTGATTTGTTAAGCCAGATTTGACTTCTGAACTAATTTAGGCTTGCCTAAACAAAGTGGGTGAATACTTATAATTAAAAATAAAATAAAAATTAATTCCCTTTGACGTTAGTATTTTGTGTATATCAATGACCCAAAAATGTACAATTAAATCTATTTCAATCACATTTTGTAACGCAACAAAATGTGAGAAAAGGTCAAGGGGGTGTAGACCTTCTATAGGCACTGTTGTTCTTCATCTAGTTAAATATAACAATTCACAATCATGAAACCTGTACATAAATGAGTTGACCAAAATCACTAGATTCTCTTATTATGGATGGGCATGGGAATAAATACATCAATTAGACATTTCTACAATTATTGAAGGTAAATTGCTCCTACTGACTTAATGCATAGGCTATATGTGGTTATTCAAGGAAAGTGTCATAGGTACAGTAGTTGGTGAAATTAAGCAGTTACAATTCACATCAACTAAATGTTAATATCAAGCCGCCAGAAGTACAGGAATAATTACATCTCTTCGGGAGGCCTAGAAGGACATGAATAAAAAAATCCCACCGTCACGTAAAGTGACAATTTGAAAAGAAACAAGCCCACAATCACAGATGGGCCAGAGTATTAACCCTGATTGCCTTAATCAAAATAACTCTCATTTAGAAAAATAGGATGAAGTCGGTCCTACGCTGCTAATTGGCAAGTTTACCATCAGGAATAAACAGCAGAGGCCAAGGGAGGCACCGGCTGCCACAATCTGAAGGAACCAAAAGGCTTATTTGCATCAAGTGCCACCGGAATAGACTAGACTCCCCCACAAGCTATCAGCAGACAGATGAGATTATTCATCAACTTGCAAATTGGCACATCAAAGTCAAATTGGAGAACTATGTCTGCATCCCAAATGGCATCCTATTCCCTGTATAGCGCACTACTTTTGACCAGAGCTCTATGGGCACTATATAGGTAAAAAGTAATGCACTATATAGTGAATAGGGTGCCATTTGGGACACACACCTGCTGTCAGAGGAGCATGAGGCCAAACAGGAGACTCTGATGAGGGGCAGGGAAACAGAGAGTATGCCCCCCTCCAGATGCAGGTTACATGATTCCAAAACTTCCCATTGTTGAACAATGGGCCATTTAATTGTATAATATAGTTATTTGTCTTTTTAGAAGAGGTACATTATGTCAGCCGAGGACGAAGGAAGTGAAATGTAACCGCAACTAAGGAATGAAGCAACAAAGCACCTTATCGGAATGGAGATTACTGGCCGTCTTTGATAGCTTTTCTATCGCCTATTTCAGATGGAGAGAGAGTTACTACTTGACACAAGGAAAGGCTATATTTTAGTAGATCGGAAATGCAGCAAAGATGTGTTTGTCTGAGGCCTGCCTGTGTGGGTGTAGGAGGTCTTACGTGGGAAGGGTGGGAGGTGACCACCACCGCCGCTGTGGGGCCTGCTGTAGTTCCCCTGGTGGTAGTTGCCAGGGGGCGGAGCGTTGCTGTACTGCCCACCTCCCTGCTGCTGTCTGTTCATGCTGTGACTGAAAACAACAGAACACGCAGAGTAAGTCAGACATTAAACATCAGTTAACGGCTGTTCCATACACACTCTTCTATAAGCACCAGCTGCCAGCCAAATAGCTGACTACTAAACCCTTATCTGGCCGGGTACTTAATTGAGGAAGACATTTGGGTGCATCGGATGCCACGTCACGCGCACCCAATACGGTGGCTACTGTTTATTAAAAACAAAAAGCATAGGGGGGGTGAGAGTTGTTTAAATTACAGACTGCAGATTTAAATGATAATTCAGCCTTCTTAGATAGCATAAATCAAAGGGTGGGTATTTAATGGCGACTGTTGAAGGGATATCATTCAAGTTGGTCTGGCTGTATAGTTTGAAGTAGTGTGCACGTACCCCAGAGCCCTGAAGCTTGACTGATCCAGGTGGACCTGCTGCCTGTTTGAGTTGAACCCCAGTTGGGGCCTCCAGTTACCCCTACCACGGTTGCCTCTCTCCCAGTCCCCAGGCTTCAGCACCTTCGCAGGCATCCTGAGGAGTTTTTTTGTTAATAATAATTATTTGATTTTTCACACAAATGAACAGTAAACGATCAACACCATACAATGTCATAAAGAGCTCCATGATCAAACACAATAAATAAAGACAATGTAATACATTTCAGACCCCACATGGGAATATACAGTGCATTCGGAAAGTATTCAGACCCCTTGACGTTTTCCATATTTTGTTACGTTAGTCTTATTCTAAAATTGATTAAATACAATTTTTCCCTCAATCTACACACAATACCCCACAATGACAAAGTGAAAACAGGTTTAGAAAGGTTTGCACATTTATTAAAAATAAAAAACAGAAATACCTTGTTTATATCAGTATTCATAGCCTTTGCTATGAGACTGAACATTTAGCTCAGGTGCAACCTGTTTCCATTGATCATCCTTGAGATGTTTCTACAACCTGTGGTAAATTCAATTGATTGGACATGATTTGGAAAGGACGCCTGTCTATAAGGTCCCACAGTTGACAGTGCATGTCAGAGCAAAAACCAAGCCATGAGGTCGAAGGAATTATCCGTAGAGCTCCAAGACAGGATTGTGTCGAGGCACAGATCTGGGGAAGGGTAGCAACACATTTCTGCAGCATTGAAGGTCCCCAAGAACACAGTGGCCTCAATCATTCTTAAATGGAATAAGTTTGAAACCACCAAGACTCTTCCTAGAGCTGGCCGCCCGGCCAAACTGCGCAATCGGGGGAGAAGGGCCTTGGTCAGAGTCGACCAAGAACCCGATGGTCACTCTGACAGAGCTCCAGGAGAACCTTCCAGAAGGACAGCCATCTCTGCAGCACTCCACCAATCAGGCCTTTATGGTAGAGTGGCCAGACGGAAGCCACTCCTCAGTAAAAAAGGCACATGGCAGCCCGCTTGGAGTTTGCCAAAAGGCACCTAAAGGACTCTCAGACCATGAGAAACAAGATTCACTGGTCTGATAATACAAAGATTAAACTCTTTGGCCTGACTGCTAAATGACTTAAATATAAATGAAAGCCGAGCGTCACGTCTGCAGGAAACCAGGCACCGCTCATCACCTGGCCAATCCCATTCCCTACGGTGAAGCGTGGTGGCAGCATCATGCTTTGGGGATGTTTTTCAGCGGCAGGGACTGGGAGACTAGTCAGAATCGAGGGAAAGGTGAACGGCGCAAAGTACAGAAAGATTATTGATGATGTCCTGAGCTATCTGGAGCAGGTTCTCAGACTTGGGCGAAGTTTCACCTTTCAACAGGACAACAACCCTAAGCATACAGCCAAGACAACGCAGGAGTGGCTTCGGGACAAGTCTCTGAATGTCCTTGAATAGCCCAGCCAGAGCCCAGACTTGAACCCGATCTAACATATCTGGAGAGACCTGAAAATAGCTGTGCAGCGACGCTCCCCATCCAACCTGACAGACCTTGAGAGGATCTGCAGAGAAGAACGGGAGAAACTCCTCAAATACAGGTGTGCCAAGCTTGTAGCGTCATACCCAAGAAGAATCAAGGCTGTAATCGCTGCCAAAGGTGTTTCAACAAAATACTGAGTAAAGGGTCTGAATACTTATGTAAATGTAATATTTCAGTTTTAGATTTTAATAATTTGCAAACATTTTTTTGCGTTTGTCATCATGGGATATTGTGTGTAGATAGATGAGCGAAAAAAACAATTTAATCAATTTTAGAATAAGGCTGTAACGTAACAAAATGTGGAAAAAGTGAAGGGGTCTGAATACTTTCCGAATGCACTGTACGTCTATGGTATTGCATCTGGACAAGTAAACTAAAGATTGTTGGCGTTTTCGATATGAAGTCCATTAGGACTTGCCAGACAGTGACGTTAAAGTGAGTGACTCGTCAGTAGCTTGCCGAATTGCATCGGTAAGAGAGCCATTCACTTAACTCCCTCATTTGCATACTGGTAGGCTTTTTGGCAATTATCTACAGATAAATTATGAACACATTCAATGAAGATGGTGAATCCTTCTCACTGCAGGAACAACAGGTAGGCTAATGGAGAGATATCCTATTTTGGACCAGAGTGAGGCTAAACGAAAACAGCTTGAATTGTTTTAAGCCAATGATACTTATATGGTATTTTCAAAGACATTGATATAGGTCTAGAGATGTAATCAAAGTGTTGCCAATGGGGAGCCTGGCTGGCTACATGTGTTTGTGGAAAACACTCAGCATATACAGCAGGTGTTATACACAGTAAGATTATATACAACACTGATGCAACAATGGGAACATGTTAATTATAAAACAATGCATTATAATAAACACATAAATAAAAAGACTATTAACTTACTTAGCTCCAGGAAGAATGACAGCCTTGAACACAAAGGTCTCTCCAAACTGTGGGTCCTTATATTTCACTCTGCCAAGACAAAAAGGAACAATTTACACATTTATAAAACAGAACTTTTACTGCAATTAATTTTATTTTATGAATAATTACATGTGTTAGTTTATATCTGTATTTAACCTGTATTTAGCCTTAGTGAAAACAGAACAAATAATTTAAGGACCAGGATCCCCTAAAAAGCTAAGCCTTCAATAAAAGTCCAGACAAAGCTGACCAAAAGCCTTGCATTGGCAATGAATTCAATAACCATCCTGTCCCAAGCAGAAATAAAGTGAGCAATGGTATTTTTTTAATCATCCGATACGCCAGCGCTGGTCAAAGAAAATGGTATCAATTCAAGTTTGGCATGAGCCTTGTTCCAACTCCAGTGTTAATGAGGGAGGCTGTCTCCCAAATGGCACCCTATTCCCTATATCTGGTCAAAAGTAATGAACTATATAGGGAGCCATTTGGGACGCAACCGGGTGTGAATGAGGGAGTCTCAGCTCCTCTTAGAAGCTGACCCCCAGAAGGCCGAGCAGGTCATTACATCTAAGAACCCAGTGACAGGTACAGCCCTCGTGGTAAATATGAGAGTCTGAAGTCGACCATTGAAGCAGGAACATTTTAATTTAGTTTCACACAGAAGTTGACCTTAGATTTCGCCTCCTGGTCGAGATCAATCAGGTAGTGTTACGCAGGAATGTGAACTTACGACTACCACTAAGGATCGTCAACTTCTTATGGAATGCAGTCTTTCTACAGCCAGATATGGTGAAACATTCAAGTATGAATAAATTGTACACAGTAGCTAGTTTCCATCCAAATTGGAGACAGATTTCATGCGAATATTCTACAATCTGCATAAAAACATGAATTTTCCCACCAGACATGCGTTTCCATCAAAACTGACTTGTTGCAGATAAAAGGCTGTGCGTGATGACGTAGTGCACATAAAAATACCTTTTGCTGTTAAATTCCCATGTACCGAATACAAAATACAAGTTAAATGGGTTTCAGTCTCTCACAAATAGATGTATGCGTTATATAGCGAGTATGCCCACTCTGGTATTGCCAACAGCACGCAGGGCAGATTGAGTACTGTATCTACGCCACTGTTGGCTAGAGCACACGTACAGCCTACATTATGACATTTTTATGGACAAAAGAGCAAGATAATTTGTAAAAAAACGGCAGCCAAGCATCGATGATCATGTCACCAGAATAAGACCCTCGATATTTATTGAAAAAGAGCATCAAGCTCATCACCGTGCACTTTCATCACCCTGTGAAGTTCATCTTAACTTATTTAATCTGTAGTCTAATAAAACTGCATGGTTTCCCCGAGTCGTAGTGGGAGGACCACACACCATATCATCACGTAACTCCAAGTTTACTTTGATATGGTTATTATATCAATTGTTGCAAATAGAAGCGTTTCCACCGACATTCCTCGCATAATTCATTTTACAAACACAAAAAGATCCCACCTTGTCTAGTGTATTTTGTTTTGTCGACATTTGGAAAGTTAACAGAACATTTTTCTGTCTCCATCAGGCCTGTCCTACATGTACTTTACTCGCATAGAAAGGTTGGATGGAAACCTGGTTAATGGGACTATGGAAGAACAAATATTGGGCAGTGGACCAGACTGAACACCATTTTGGTTACGTATACCCCCTTGGAACCACCAACTGAATGAACAGAGGTTGTGAGAGTAAAAGATGAATCCTTACCCAATGGCACTGTTCTGTGCAATGTCCCGCAGCATGGGTATAGGCGACTCCACTGGCCTAAGAACAAATGAGGTTTCACACAGTCATAGGTTAGCCATGATTCTCTCCAGAGAAGGATGGATAAATGGCAGAAAATGGTAACTTCGAAAATGTATGATAATAAAACAGATGTGTTCCTTACTTATCTGGTAGGATAGGGTCTTCGTCAAGATTTAATGTACCTTGAATTCCATGGCATAGTTCTGCCGGCATCTCAGTGCCCTGAGGAAAACAGACACTGCAATATTAATATCATACTTAAAATACTATATTACTTAACATACTATACAATAAACTATTAGATGATCAGGCTGCAGGGACATTGCTTTCCATACCTCGTGAGATTCTCCACGGTACAGTTCCTGGATGAAGTCACAGATAGGATGAGATATCCCAACAAACAGCATATCACTGCCAAGGCTGTTCCTCTTGTCTGAAACAAAGAGAGAAGACATCAGCTGGAGTGACTGACAGTCAATATTCAAAACGATTCCAGTAAGAGAGTTCTTTACATAATAAACCTATTGATCAGCACTGACACCAAACGTCATTCAAGATACACATTGCGTCATGTGTTCAATTAGTAATTTCACATGTGGAGTACTTCAGTAATAAAGTAATGTTATACAGTGCATTCAGAAAGTATTCAGACCCTTTCTCCACATTTTGCTACGTTACAGTTTTATTCTAAAATTGATTAAATAAAACAATTTCATCAATCTACACACAATACCCCATAATGACATAGCAAAAACAGGTTTTTAGAAATGTCTGCAAATTAAAAAATAAAAACAGAAATACCTTATTTAGATAAGTATTCAGACCCTTTGCTATGAGACTCGAAATTGAGCTCAGGTGCATCCTGTTTCCATTGATCATCCTTGAGATGTTTCTACAACTTGATTGGAGCCCACCTGGGGTAAATTCAATTGATTGGACATGATTTGGAAAGGCACACACCTTGTCTATATAAAAGGTCTCACAGTTGACAGTGCATGTCAGAGCAAAAACCAAGCTTTGAGGTTGAAGGAATTGTCCATAGAGCTCCGAGACAGGATTGTGTCGAGGCACAGATCTGTGGAAGGGTACAAAAAAAATTCTGCAGCATTAAAGGTCCCCAAGAACACAGTGGCCTCCATCATTCTTAAATGGAAGAAGTATGGAACCACCAAGACTCTTCCTAGAGCTGGCAGTCCGGCCAAACTGAGCAAATCGGGGGAGAAGGGCCTTGGTCAGGGAGGTGACCAAGAACCCGATGGTCACTTTGACAGAGCTCCAGAACAACCATCTCTGCAGCACTCCAACAATCAGGCCTTTACGGTAAAGTGGCCAGACGGAAGCCACATGACATCCCGTTTTTCCAAAAGGCACCTAAAGGACCTGGCACCATCACTACGGTGAAGCATGGTGGTGGCAGCATCATGCTGTGGGGATGTTTTTCAGCGGCAGGGACTGGGAGACTAGTCAGGATCGAGGGAAAGATGAACGGAGCAAAGTACAGAGAGATCCTTGATGAAAACTTGCTCCAGAGCGCTCAGGACCTCAGACTGGGGCGAAAGGTTCACTTTCCCACAGGACAACGACCCTAAGCACATAGCCAAGACGACGTAGGAGTGGCTTTGGGACAAGTCTCTGAATGTCCTTGAGTGGCCCAGCCGGAGCCCGGACTTGAACCTGATTGAACATCACTGGAGACACCTGAAGATAGCTGTGCAGAGACGCTCCCCATCCAACCTGACAGAGCTTGAGAGGATCTGCAGAGAAGAATGGGAGAAACTCCCCAAATACAGGTGTGCCAAGCTTGTAGCGTCATACCCAAGAAGACTCGAGGCTGTAATCGCTGCCAAAGGTGCTTCAACAAAGTACTGAGTAAAGGGCCTGAATACTTATGTTTTTTATTTTATACATTTGCAAAAATGTCTAAAAACCTGTTTTCGCTTTGTCATTATGGGATATTGTGTGCAGATTGATGAGGCGGAAAAACAATTGAATCCATTTTAGAATAAGGCTGTAACGTAACAAAATGTGGAAAAAGTCCAGGGGTCTGAATACTGCCTATGGGCAGTGCCTATGGGCACCAACCCACCGTCGCTGGACCAGACAGGACTGGCAAAAAGTGCTCTTCACAGATTAGTTGTGGTTTTGTCTCACAAGGGGTGATGGTCGGATTCGCGTTTATCATCTAAAAAATTAGCGTTACACCGAGGCCTGTACTCTGGAGCGGGATCGATTTGGAGGTGGAGGGTCCGTCATGGTCTGGGGCGGTGTGTCACAGCATCATCGGACTGAGCTTGTTGTCATTGCAGGCAATATCGACCTGTTGGATCAGAGGGTGAGGGCTAGGGCCATTCCCCCCAGAAATGTCAGGGAACTTGCAAGTGCCTTGGTGGAAGAGTGGGGTAACATCTCACAGCAATAACTGGCAAATCTGGTGCAGTCCATGAGGAGGAGATGCACTGCAGTACTTAATGCAGCTGGTGGCCACACCAGATACTGACTGTTACTTTTGATTTTGATCCCCCTTTTGTTCAGGGACACATTATTCAATTTCTGTTAGTCACGTCTGTGGAATTTGTTCAGTTTATGTCTCAGTTGTTGAATCTTATGTTCATACAAATATTTACACATGTTAAGTTTGCTGAAAATAAACGCAATTGACTTTTCTTGCTGAGATTATATTGTGATACTTTCATATTCTGAAGGAGTGGTTTACAATGGTGGCTTGAAGTTGAGGAATCCCATTACTCACTTTCCTCTGGAGAGAGGTTTGGGTAGACTTCAGCCAGGGCTGCCCTCAGCCTACGCTCATCCACAAAGGGCAGCAATGCAACACCTACACACAGAGGGGAAAACACATTCAATCAAATGTATTTTATAAAGCCCTTTTTACATCAGCAGTAATGCTTTACAGTTACCAGGCCTGGACCCCAAAGAGCAAGCAATGCAGTGAGTATATCATTCAGGACATACAAACTGACCACCTGCCTTCACTGCCATGACAAGGTGTTCCGTTTAATGGTCCATTATTCTGTTGACTTACCCTGCCAAGCGTACTTCTTTCCATTCAAGTCGATGGCAAAGTCATCAGGGTAGAAGTCAATGATGGAGGATTCCTGTTGGAGACGAAGCGACAGTTTAGGAAAACAAGAGTGACCGACAGCAGTAGTGGTTTAGCAGTCTATCAACTTCTGTGATCATTACATTGGTCACACTTTATTTGGATAGTCAGTTCTACATCTATGGTCCCTTATAGATGATCTACATATGCTCAGACTATGCAAAAAAAAAAAAGGTGAAATTTACTGGGTTGCTCATGAGTGACCGCCATGTTTCAGGCAGGAAGTTTCCACTGGCGGCAGGGAAAACACCCATCAGCTGTTCCAGGGGCTTGAACTGAAACACAGGAACAGAAGACCGTTAGACAGAGCGTTAGAACTAACCACACAAAACAGACAGGCTTAACAATGGGAACACGAACTAATGAGAGAGAGAGAGAGAGAGAGAGAAGCCTGCATCTGTCCATTCTTACCGGCTTGGTCCCAAGCTCGAAGTCGGTGAACATGCCTTTGATGTCTTTGAAGTCCGAGGCGAATGGGGCGTAGTGGAACGGGAAGTACCACTTCCAGGACGCGCACCCCTGTCAATCAACAGACAAACAGTTAATGAGACGACCAGGAGAAATGATCCTCCAGTACCTTTATCTCAACTGACAGTCTGATTAGATTACTGGCTAGCTTGGGCCCACTTAGTCCAGATTTTACTTTACTTTTCATTTATTTACGTAAATGACTGACAATTCAACAGGAAACATTTGAATACATAGCCTACTAAAGAAGAATGCCCAGGGATGAATAAATACCCCTGGTCTAGGCCTACAGATGCGGTCAAATATATTGACACCCTTGCAATTTACAATGTAGCGCAAAGAATCAGTTGACTCAAACAACATTCATTCCAATTTGGAATAATTTAGTCCAGGCCATTTATTAATTAGATTTTTTTCTTCTTGGTCCTGTGCAGTTGTAAATCAAACAAATACACGTGAAGACCAAACTTTTTCAAATTTTAACTCATTTTGAGAGAAGATGGGGAGCCTATATGAGCCTCTAATCTAGTTGACACTTGCCTGTGACTGACATTTAACTCTCATAAAATTGCATACTTTGAAAACTGGGACGAGAATTAGAGGTTGTTAAACCATTAATTTTAATCATTGAAGGAACGGAAGGAAGGAATGGTGCAAATGGCTTGGAATTGGGTTTGGGAGGTGGGAAGTCCGCCAACTGGCAAACGTACACGTCCCAAAACACTTTCCAATACCAGCTTAGTACCTCCCTCTACACTTGTACAACTAAATGAACACTGACATTTGTTTCATCCCATCATTAATGTATACTTAACAAAAATATATAAAACGCAAAATGCAACAATTTCAAAGATTTTTCTGAGTTACAGTTCATAAAGAAATCAGCAATTGAAATAAATTCATTAGGCCCAAATCTATGGATTTCACATGACTGGGAATACAGATATGCATCTGTTGGTCACAGATACCTTTTAAAAAAAAGGTAGGGGCAAGAATCAGAAAACCAGTCAGTATCTGCCTCATGCATCGCGACACATCTCCTTCGCATAGAGTTGATCAGGCTGTTGATTGTGGCCTGTTGTCCCACTTCTCTTCAATGACTGTGCGAAGTTGCTGGATATTGGCAGGAACTGGAACACGCTGTCGTACGCGTCGATCCAGAGCATCCCAAACATGCTCAATGGGTGACATGTCTGTTGAGTACGCAGGCCATGGAAGAACTGGGACATTTTCAGCTTCCAGGAATTGTGTACAGATCCTTGCTACATGGGGCCGTGCATTATCATGCTGAAACGTGAGGTGATGGCGACGGATTAATGGCAAGACAATGGGCGTTAGGATCTTGTCACGGTATCTCTGCATTCCAATTGCCATCGATAATACGCAATTGTGTTCTTTGTCCGTAACTTATGTCTGCCCATACCATAACCCCACCACCACCATGGGGCACTCTGTTCACAACGTTGATGTCAGCAAACCTCTTGCCCACACAACGCTGTCTGCCATCTGCCCGGTACAGTTGAAACCGGGATTCATCCGTGAAGAGCACACTTCTCCAGCATGGCAGTGGCCATCGAAGGTGAGCATTTGCCCACTGAAGTCAGCTACGACGCCATACTGCAGTCAGATCAAGACCCTAGTGAGGACGACAAGCACACAGATAAGCTTCCCTGAGACGGTTTCAGACAGTTTGCGCAGAAATTCTTCAGTTGTGCAATCCCACAGTTTCATCAGCTGTCCGGGTGGCTGGTCTCAGATTATCCCGCAGGTGAAGAAGCTGGATGTGGAGGTCCTGGGCTGGGGTGGTTACACATGGTCTGCGGTTGTGAGACCAGTTGGACGTACTGCCAAATTCTCTAAAACGACGGAGGCGGCTTATGGTAAAGAAATTAACATTAAATTATCTTGCAACAGCTCTGGTGGACATTCCTGCAGTCAGCATGCCAATTGTGCGCTCTCTCAAAACTTGAGACATTTGTGGAATTGTGTGACAAAACTGCACATTTTAGTGGCCTTTTATTGTCCCCAGCACAAGGTACACCTGTGTAATGATCATGCTGTTTAATCAGCTTCTTGATATGCCACACCTGTCAGGTGGATGATTATCTTGGCAAAGGAGAAATGCTCACTAACAGGGATGTAGTGCTTTTTGTGCGTATGGACAATTTCTGGGATCTTTTATTTCAGCTCATGAAACATGGGACCCACACTTTACATGTTGCATTCATATTTATGTTCAAGGTGTATATTGAAATTATATTTGTGCTGGGGCGGTAAAAATAATTTAAAACCAAACAATCCAGCCTTGAAACACGTATCCTTGGCTAGTGAATTACCATTTCAAAGTCACACCGATGGGTGATGGTTGGCTGGATGGAATGCTCTTCTCTTAGAGCAGGGTTTTCCAAACTTGATCCTGGGGCCCCTCCCTGGGTGCACGGTTTGATTTTTGCCCTAGCACTACACAGCTGATTCAAATAACCAACTCATCATCAAGCTTAGATTATTTGAATCAGCTGTGTAGTGCTTGGGCAAACACCGTGAACCCAGGGGGCCCCAGGACTGAGTTTGGGAAATCATGTCTTAGACAATGAGGTCTCCTTATTACATTCAACACTCTTTATAGTCTTGTCCACATTTAAATTAGAATTAGCTAAGTCTGTTATTAAAGATCATTCATTCAAATATTAACGTGGTACATTTGGATTAAAACGCAAGATTCTTACAAGTGGCCAAATACCCATGTTTAAATATTTACATAGCTAGGACATCTACATAATAAAAATCCCGGCATAAATCTGATCTTTTTAAACGAACAACGTCACAAATCAAGGTAACGAGAAGGTTATGAGAAGCAACGCACAATTACACTACTTTGCATCCTGTGCATATGACATATAAACGTCTATTTGAAATCAGTGTGTTGTACCTGGTAGTAGTATCGGAGTACCCAGCAGAGACCCTCCACGTAGGACTTCACCACCTTTTTGCGGAAGTCATCGTCAGTCGCGTCAACGTCAAACTTGGTCTTGTAGTATCTTTGCTTCCAGCCATCCTCCCACAACCTAACACACAGGGACAGTCATGTTCTGAGAGATGGGATGACAAAGCCATCGAAATGGCAAGCAAGGACGAAAGCCTTGGGCATACTCATCAATAGAACTCTGTGAGAAAGCCATACTCAGGCTTGCATGTCTATCACAATGCCGTGTAACATACACTATATACAGTGCATTCGGAAAGTATTCAGACCCCTTGACTTTTTCCACATTTTGTTACGTTACAGCCTTATTCTAAAAGGGTTTAAATTGTCCCCCCCCCCCCCTCATTCTACACATCAATACCCCATAATGACAAAGCAAAAACAGGTTTAGAAATGTTTGCTAATTTATAAAAAATGAACATCTAAAATATCACATTTACATAAGTATTCAGACCCTTTACTCAGTACTTTGTTGAAGCACCTTTGGCAGCGATTACAGCCTCGAGTCTTCTTGGGTATGACGCTACAAGCTTGGCACACCTGTATCTGGGGAGTTTCTCCCATTCTTCCTCTGCAGATCCTCTCAAGCTCTGTCAGGTTGGAAGAGGCGCTATTTTCAGGTCTCTCCAGAGATGTTCGATCGGGTTTAAGTCCGGGCTCTGGCTGGCCACTCAAGGACGTTCAGAGACTTGTCCCAAAGCCACTCCTGCGTTGTCTTGGTTGTGTGCTTAGGGTTGTTGTCCTGTTGGAAGGTGAACCTTCACCCCAGTCTGAAGTCCTGAGCAGGTTTTCATCAAGGATCTCTATATACTATGCGCCGTTCATCTTTCCCTCGATTCTGACTAGTCTCCCTGCCACTGAAAAACATTCCCACAGCATGATGCTGCCACCACTATGCTTCACCGTGGGGATGGTGCCAGGTTTCCTCCAGATGTGACACTTGGCATTCAGTCCAAAGAGTTCAATCTTGGTTTCTTCAGACCAGTGAATCTTGTTTCTCATGGTCAGAGTCATTTAGGTGCCTTTTGGCAAACTCCAAGCGGGCTGTCATGTGCCTTTTACTGAGGAGTGGCTTCCGTCTGGCCACTCTACCATAAAGGCCTGATTTGTTTAGTGCGACAGAGATGGTGGTCCATCTGGAAGGTTCTCCACAGAGGAACTTTGGAGACTGTCACCTCCCTGACCAAGGCCCTTCTCCCCCGATTGCTCAGTTTGGCCGGGCGCCCAGCTCTAGGAAGAGTCTTGGTGGTTCCAAACTTCTTCCATTTAAGAATGGCGTAGGCCACTGCATTCTTCGGGACCTTCAATGCTGCAGAAATGTTTTGGTGCCCTTCCCCAGATCTGTGCCGACACAATCCTGTCTTGGAGCTCTACGGACAATTCCTTCGACCTCATGGCTTGGTTTTTGCTCTGACATGCTCAGTCAACTGTGAGACCTTATATAGACAGGTGTGTACCTTTCCAAATCATGTCCAAATCAATTGAAATGTACTCCAGGTGGACTCTAATCAAGTTGTAGAAACATCAAGGATGATCAATGGAAACAGGATGCACCTGAGCTCAATTTCGAGTCTCATAACAAAGGGTCTAAATACTTATGTAAATAAAGTATGTTTAAAAAAAATCTGTAATACATTTGCAATAACGCTGCAACGTAACAAAATGTGGAAAAAGTTAAGGGGTCTGAATACTTTGAATGCACTGTATACAAAAGTATGTGGACGCCTCCAATTAGTGGATTCGGCTATATCAGCCATACCTGTTGTTGACAGGTATTTAAAATCTCCATAGACAAACATTGGCAGTAACATGGTCCGTACTGAATTAGTCTGACTTTCAACATGGTACAGTCATCGAATGCCACCTCTCCAACAAGTCAGTTCGTCAAATTCCTGCCCTGCTAGAGATGCCCCGGTCAACTGTAAGTGCTGTTATTGTGAAGTGGAAACGTCTAGGAGCAACAACGGCTCAGCCGCGAATTGGTAGACCACACAAGCTCACAGAATGGGACCGCCGAGTGCTGAAGCACGTAAAAATCGTCTGTCCTCTGTTGCAACATTCACTACAGAGTTCCAATCTGCCTCTGAAAGCAACGTCAGCACAAGAACTGTGCGCCGGGAGCTTCATGAAATGGGTTTCCATGGCCGAGCAGCCGCACACAAGCCTAAGATCGCCATGCGCAATGCCAAGCGTCGGCTGGAGTGTTGAATCACGCTTCACCATCTGGCAGTCCGACGGACTAATCTGGGTTTGGTGGATGCCAGGAGAACGCTACCTGCCCCAACGCATAGTGCCAATTGTAAAGTTTGGTGGAGGAGGAATAATGATCTGGGGCTGTTTTTCATGGTTCAGGCTAGGCCCCTTAGCTCCTGTGAAGGGAAATCTTATGCTAAAGCATACAATGACATTCGAGACGATTCTGTGCTTCCAACTTTGTGGCAACAGTTTGGGGAAGGCCCCTAACCTCAACCCCATCAAACACCTTTGGGATGAATTGGAACGCCAACTGCGAGCCAGGTCCTAATCGCCCAACATCAGTGCCCGACCTCACTAATGCTCGTGGCTGAATGGAAGTAAGTCCCAGCAGCAAATGTTCCAACATCTAGTGGAAAGCCTTCCCAGAAGAGTGGAGGCTGTTATGGCAGCAAAAAATGGACCAACTCCATTTGAATGCCCATGATTTTGGAATGAGATGTTCGACAAGCAGGTGTCCACATACTTTTGGTCATGTAGTGTATTCTAGCTAGTAAGAGACAATTTCCTCATCTTACATACAGGATTTGGGAATTATCATCATAGTCAATTTCCATGAAGACATGGAAGAGAAACTAGTTTACTGCTTTAGGAAGTAGCTGAATGGTTTCGACATATTAGTAGATTGGCGATGCACTACACACATAATGAAGGATGAGCAGCATCCTCCACACTGGCCCAGAGGGAGAGCAGTCTTGTAACAGGAAAGCCTCCATGAATACCAATTTAGCCCAATGGATTCAACACCCTTGGCGAGCGCATCACAGACGAATTTATGAGAATATGCCTCCTTTCCATATTAATAACTTGCAGGCAGGAGGAGGGGGTGGGAGGGGGGTTGGAGGTGGTAAGAAACCACAGAGTAGCTCCTAAGGGGCCCGTGCTGCACAGGAGAGGCATAAATCAGACCATCACCCTTGCTGAGAGGCCTGCCTGGTTGGTTGACTGGCTACTTGGATGACTGACTGTCCTTGTTGGCAGGTTGATTGACAGGCTGGTTGGTTTACTCCCTAGTTGACTGACTGTAGCATAGTCATTTACCTGACATTATCCTCAGGCTCTGGCTCGCTGTCGCTGTCCTCAGCTTTCCGCTTCATACCCCGGCCGTCCTGCCCGTCACTGCTCCCTGCCTAGACAAGATAATTATACCTAAACCATCTGTCAGTAGATCGGTTTCCACCAATTGGCGACAGACTTTCGTGCAAATATTCTAAAACACACATAGAAAACATATGCACATTTCCCACCAGATGTGTTTCCATCAAACATACTTTTTTGCGCATAAAATACTGTGCGTGATGACATAGCAAATAAAATTACTTTTGCGCTTAAGTTTTAATGTTCCGAATAAAAAAAACATTTGTTTCATGCCTTTCCATTGCATTTTCAGCTCTACCGGTGGTTTTGTCATAAACTGATGCTATAAATAGCATACTTGACCAATCTGGTTTTGGCGCATGCTCTATAGACAGTCCATAAAGTGGACAGGGTATGGATAAAAGTAAGATCATTTAACAAAAGAATAATTGGCAGCCAGGCATAGATCATCTCACCAGCATCATTCAAATGATGGCCTACCCTCAATATTTTGTGGAAATTTGCAAATAGCCCATCACTGTGCACGTAAACACCGTATGTTATGAGGTTACGACATTGTGACATTTTACTAACAAATGTGCCGTTTCCATAAGGCCTGTCGTGACTTTCTTTGTATGCGTCAGGTCATTCATCTGCATGAAATTGTGGGATGGAAACCTTAGCAACCCGCTAAGCAACTACAAATATTTATGAAATTATTTTTTTCATTCATTTATAAATTACATCTTGTGGACAATATTTCCACCATCATGGAGGATTCAAGGGGGGGGGGGGGGGGGGCTTTATAAGAAAATAAAACACATTCAGCTAGTGTGTGCAGCCCTTCACCTTTGCCACACTTCCTTTGTGAACACATTAATAGAATAGAGGAACTAACAGCTTCGTACAATGTACATTAATGTAAAAAAAAAGAAAATTTGCCCAGACCAGCATCAATAGAACATGGAAATGTGTACTGCGCTCACACTTGAGGTACATAAATGCTTGAACATGGACAAAAGTCCTCTGCCGCATTTGATCAATACAAGCCATGTAAAATTCTAGTCCAGTTTTCAAATCACTACAAAACGGAAGGTAATCAGTGGAGGCATACCTGGCCACCATTCTTCATCATGGCTTTTAGTGATTGCGCAGCATCCTGAAATAAAAAGACATCTTTAATTACCTATAAAAATTGTATAAGTGTCCTATATCGCCCTAACACCTCAACATTCGTATAGATGTTCACTGCGCGGAGAGCTTGCGAGTAAGCATCTCATTGTACTGTGTACAGTCGTCGTCAAAAGTTGAGAATGACACAAGTATTGGTCTTCACAAAGTTCGCTGCTTCAGTGTTATGAGATATTTTTGTCAGATGTTACTATGGTATACTGAAGTATAATTACAAGCATTCCATAAGTGTCAAAGGCTTTTGACAATTACATTAAGCTTATGCAAAGAGTCAATATTTGCAGTGTTGACCCTTCTTTTTCAGACCTCTGCAATCCACCCTGACATGCTGTCAATTAACTTCAGGGCCACCTCCTGACTGATGGCAGCCCATTTTTGCATAATCAATGTTTGGAGTTTGTCAGAATAGGTGGGGTTTTGTTTGTCCACCCGCCTCTTGAGGATCGACCACAAGTTTTCAATGGGATTAAGGTCTGGGGAGTTTCCTGGCCAGGGACCCAAAATGTCGATGTTTTGTTCCCCGAGCCACTTAGTTATCACTTTTGCCTTATGGCAAGGTGTTCCATCATGCTGGAAAAGGCAATGTTCATCACCAAACTGTTCTTGGATGGTTGGGAGAAGTTGCTATCGGAGGAGGTGTTGGTACCATTCTTTATTCATGGCTGTGTTCTTAGGCAAAATTGTGAGTGAGCCTACTCCCTTGGCTGAGAAGCAACCCCACACATGAATGGTCTCAGGACGCTTTACTGTTGGCATGACACAGGACTGATGGTAGCGCTCACCTTGTCTTCTCCGGACAAGGTGTTTTCCGGATGCCCCAAACAATCGGAAAGAGGATTCATCAGAAAATGACTTTACCCCTGTCCTCAGCAGTCCAATTCCTGTACCTTTTGCAGAATAGTCTGTCCCTAATGTTTTTCCTGGAGAGAAGTGGCTTCTTTGCTACCCTTCTTGACACCAGACCATGCTCCAAAAGTCTTCGCCTCACTGTGCGTGCAGATGCACTCACACCTGCCTGCTGCCATTCCTGAGCAAGCTCTACACTGGTGGTGCCCCAATCCCGAGGCTGAATCAACTTTAGGAGACGGTCCTGGCGCTTGCTGGACTTTCTTGGGCGCCCTGACGCCTTCTTCACAAAAATTGAACCGCTCTCCTTGAAGTTCTTGATGATCCGATAAATGGTTGATTTAGGTGCAATCTTACTAGCAGCAATATCCTTGCTTGTGAAGCCCTTTCTGTGCAAAGCAATGATGACGGCACGTGTTTCCTTGCAGGTAACCATGGTTAACAGAGGAAGAACAATGATTTCAAGCACCACCCTCCTTTTAAAGCTTCCAGTCTGTTATTCTAACTCAATCAGCATGACAGAGTGATCTCCAGCCTTGACCTGTGTTAACGAGAGAATCACTGACATGATGGCAGCTGGTCCTTTTGTGGCAGGGCTGAAATGCAGTGGAAATGTTTTTTTGGGGGATTAAGTTCATTTTCATGGCAAAGAGGGACTTAATTCATTGCTATTCATCTGATCACTCATGACATTCTGGAGTATATGCAAATTGCCATCATCAAAACTGAGGCAGCAGACTTTGTGAAAATTAGTATGTGTGTCATTCTCAAAACTTTTGACCACGACTGTACACTACGCTGTATCCAATGCATATGACAAATAAAGTTGGATTTTAATAGTGGATAATAGGTGGCTTTTTCCTTGCACCGTTGACCAGAAACAAAATCCCCCTGATAAGCCCACCATCATACCTTGTTGTGCTGGTCCCTGCCCTGCATCCTCATGTCGAAGGCTTGGTGCCGGGCGTTCTGGACAACCCCAGGTCTGCCTCTGCCACCAAGGGCCTGGGGGGCAAACTGACCACCGGTCATGTAGGCTGGGCCTTGCTGCTGAGCCTAGGGAACACACACAAATTAACAGTTAGTTGAACTATTTGGGTCGGTTTCCATGACACAGATTAAGCCTAGTCCTAGACCAGGGCTCTACAACCATGTTCCTGGAGAGCTACCGTCCTGTAGGTTTGAACTAAAACCCTGATCTAGCGCACCTGATTTTAATGATAAGCCGAATCAGCTTAGTTACAACTGGGGTGGGAGCGAAAACCTACAGGAGGGTAACTCTCCAGGATCAGAGTTTTCTCAATTGAAAGATCTTCTTAGACCAGGACTAGGCAGTTGAAAGAGAAAGGGGGATACCTGGTCAGTTGTACAACTGAAACGTGTCATCCACATTTAACCCAACCCCTCTGAATCAGAGAGGTGTGGTGGGGCTGCCTTAACCGACATCCACATCATCGGTGCAGTTGTTGGGGTTTAACTGCCTTGCCCAGGGGCAGAACAACAGATTTTTACCTTGTCGGCTCGGGGATTCGATCCAGCAAACGTTTACTGGTTACTGGCCTAACGCTCCTACCTACCAGGCTACCCGCCGCCCCCAGGCTTAATATGAGTCTGTGAAATTGGCCCATGAAGTCACTGGTTTCCCAATTACTGGTTTTACAAATCTTGCACACACCTTTGGTTTCCTAGGTCTAAAAATCTGTCATTGTCCAAAAAAGCAAGTAAGAAAACTGGCATACAATACAGCAGACCTCAAGGGCCAGAGTCGTGCATCCCTGATTTAAAACATCCATTGAGGAAACGTTTCGAACAATACACAGCGATGCCACATCAACAGTATAAATCAGAAAAAATAGTTTAATTGCCCATTGAAATAAATGGCCTTGCATGCACAGTCATAATTCAAAGAAAACATGAAGGTAAGGAGTAAAGCGGTTCATTCAAAACATGACTGTAAGTCGCTTTGGATAAAAGCGTCTGCCAAATCGCATATTATTATTTATTATTAAAACCACAGTACAAAGTCAAGCTACAATAACATAGGCACACATCCATTCCACTTACCTTCATCCTCTTCTTTTTCTCCTTGTTCCTTCGCTTGAACCCCTCCTACAAGACAAAGCTCATTATTTACACAAACAGTCAACAGGAAAAGTTCAGCAAATTACAGGAAGATTGGCATCTGCTAAACTAGCTTAAATGACAGCTGAGTGTCAATGACCAAGCCATGATTAATGTAAATCCTATGGAAAATCTCCCACCCCTCAGTTTAGCAAAGGAAGAATATGATCTATTCAACAGGAATCATTTCCCTGCTGAAAGCTACTGCTCATCCAGCTACCATCTTACATCGTCCTCTTTGCGCTTCTTGAAGATGTTGTCCTCAGCCACGCCGATTGCCTGCATGATCAACTCAACACTCTCCAAGTTGACAAAACCATTCTCTGTGATGTAGCCCTGTGAGGAGAGAAAGAACATATTAAAGGCTATGAACAGGCACCTGGGCAAGGAAGTCAGGACAGCTTTAAGGGCCGGTTTCCCAGACACAGATTAAACCTAGTCCTAGACTAAAAAACGATTTCAGTGGAGAATTTCCATTTAGCATACATTTTAGTCCAGGTCTAGGCTCAATCAGTTTGGGAAACTGCCACAAAACCTCTGGGGGAGGAGGGGTTCTATGTAACATCTCCTAAAACCCCATGTGAGACAGTCAGACATACCCAAGCCTACACTGAAAACACTTACCCCAGTCTTGTGCACGACGTCTTTGTAGATGCCCACCAGTCGATCTATCGCACCCTCTCTGAAAGACACATGGAACGTACTATCAACAATTGAAATGTATGGAAACAGCAAGAATGTATTTTTGTCAAGGTGTTTTCAAGACGATAAGCTTAATCTCAGTTCCGTCAGGTTTACCTAATCTCTAAGGACGGTAAGTGAGGCAGGAAATCATTGCCAACGAAGAAGCACATGAAGACCCAGTCGTCGACAGTCCTCTCAAAGTCAAATGGAAAGGGCAGACTGGCCATTGTCAGCTCTCGCTCCAGGTACTGTAGGAAAAGGAAGCATACCTTGATAAACAGATTTTTATTTTTTTACAGTGGAGACACATGTCTCATCTCATTTCGATCTGAAGTCAAGGACATATTTCACACATACTACCGGAAAACAAAGCCAGTGTCTTTCTTTCTGGACATGACCTGGCTGGCAAACTACTGGGGGTGTGACGGCAAGCCTGCTAGGATGTGAGACTCCCATAACGTGTTACATCACAACCTTTCATCAACACATCATCTAACACCACATTCAATGATAACATATCAGACATTGGTCCCGTGTAGCTCAGTTGGTAGAGCATGGCGCTTGCAACGCGAGGGTTGTGGGTTCGATTCCCACGGGGGGGGCCAGTATGAAAATGTATGCACTCACTAACTGTAAGTCGCTCTGGATAAGAGCGTCTGCTAAATGACTCAAATGTAAATGATACTACCAACACCAGCACAACGGAACATAGAGGCAATAACTACGCAGAACAAAAATATAAACGCAACGTAAAGTGTTGGTCCCATGTTTCATGAGCTGAAATTTAAAAAAATCCCAGAAATGTTCAATACACACAAAAAGCTTATTTCTCAACTTTTGTGCACAAACTTTATTGCATCCCTGTTAAGTGAGCATTTCTCCTTGGCCAAGACAATCCATCCACCTGACAAGTGTGGCAAAAAGCTGATTAAACAGCATGATCATTACACAGGTGCACCTTGTGCTGGGGACAATAAAAGGACCACTAAAATGAGCAGTTTTGTCACACAACACAATGCCATAGATGTCTCAAGTTTTGAGGGAGCGTGCAATTGGCATGCTGACTGCAGGAATGTCCACCAGAGCTGTTGCCAGAGAATTTAATGTTCATTTCTCTACAATAAGCCGCCTCCAACGTCATTTTAGAGATTTTTTTTGGGGGGGGGGGATATTTTGGTCTGTCATAAAGAATCAATCAAAAACTAACTCTGATTGGCTGGGCCTGGCTCCCCAGTGGGTGTGCCTGGCTGCCAAGTGGGTGGGCCTATGGCTGCACCCCTGCCCAGTCATGTGAAATCCATAAATTAGGGCCTAATGAGATTTTTTTTCAATTGACTGATTTCCTTATATGAACGGTAAATCAGTAAAATCTTTGAAATTGTTGCGTTTATATTTTTGTTCAGTATAGTTACATGACCATAAAAAATGTAGCAGTTTTTAAAGAAATTCTAAGATGTCTGATACAGAACGTACCTCGCGCAAAACGCACAGCCTGATGAATATGAACTCCTGTTCAGAAGCCGGCATAGTGTCTGCAAACTCATCATGCTGCAATAAGAAGAAAATATTAGTCATCATCGCTCATAACACGGAGAGCAAATGTAATGTACACTTTTTGGGGGGCGGTTTACTTGGCACAGATTAAGCATAGACCTGGACTAAAAACCAAACTCAACGGAGAATCTCCATTGAAAATGCATTTTAGTTCAAGAATAGGCTTAGTCTGTGTCCGTGAAAATGGCCCTTAAAAGGATACTTCGGGATTTGATCTACTTCCTCCGAGTCAGATGAACTCGAGGATACCATTTTTGTGTCTGTGTCCAGTATGAAGGTAGTTTAGCGTGCCAATGCTAACTATCATTAGCGCAATGACAGGAAGTCTATGGGCATCTGCTACATTCTCCATTGAGTTTGGGGTCAATTCCAATTTCATTTAAAATTCCTATTCAATTCTTGATTTCCCTCATGAAGTGGAGAATTTAAGTTGAATTAAATTAGAATTAAAAAATGCTTCCAGTTATGGAATTAGACTGGACTTTCCTATATTTCCAGTATAGCTAGGCTGTCTGAAGAGTAACATGCTCAGACTGAAGGAAATTAATTTGAGGAATTGTTGGGGATAACATTGAATTGGACATTTAACTATTGGAATTTACCCAACATTGGAATTCAGAGGAATTTAATTATCAGAATTAAAAGACTGACCTGGAATTTAAATTGAACGAAATGTACAGGGAGAGAGAATTTAATGTGGAATTGACCCCAACCATGATGGCTATAAATCAATGTACCTCTCCCTGTTTCTCCCTGGCCACTCCCTGGCAGTCCTTGATCTCATGGCCTTTCTGTCCACACATAGCACAGGGCCTAGGCTGGTTAGGCTTGAACTCCTCTCTGATGATGGTGAAATTGGGCTCGTGAGTGGCAAGACCCAGCATGATCAGGTCAGCTAGGGAAATGAACAGAAGAGGACATCCAAATTCAAAATATACAATCAGAAGTGAAGAGGAAATTCAGCAACTCTGGAAGGACAGTGGTAGTTGATGAAAGAGCTTATTTGTTGTTAAATGTAAAACCAATAAGTTTCAGCCCTAGGCCTTGATCGGGGTTTTTGTGCAAACAGAAAACCTTGAAATACACTGAAAGGCTTAAAACAGCTCTAAAGTACTGCGTTTTATACATGGTCACAGGAACAATAAACTCAGGTTTCTAAGGCTTTATGTTAATTAAATTACCTAGAACACATGAGCCATGCATGCATTATTATCCACGTTGTTAATATACACGTACAATAGCATGATTTATCCATTTGAGGGGAGTGAAGCTTCACCCAAAATGCCACCCTATTCCCAACATAGTGCACTACTTTTGACCAGAGCCCTAAGTGCCCTGGACAAAAGTACTGCACTATATAGGGAATAGGGTGCCATTTGTGAAAGGCTGAATGCATCAGGCTCCTCTTCAAGCTAATTACGTGCAATATTTTCCCTCTTTTGTCTACCAAGGGCATCATGAACCATTGAACGACTGAAGCCTTTATCTATCATGTCCTGCATAATTTCACCCATTTAAAACTAACTGGCCATTAATATAGCAGGACAATAAGGCCGGCAGAAAACAGAGAACCCTATCCTCTAACAATATCCAAGGTGGGAGAGTTGCAACTAATGTTGCCAAACTTTTAAACAAGTGTAAGAACATGTTTATATTCACTATATCGATAAACATTCAGTAAAGCATAGTCTGCAGTTAAGGTGCATAACTGAATTCTTAGCCATCGTCTTAGAAAAACAAACATACATTATCACGGTCAATCACAGGTCTTTTGCCCGTCAGGCTCAATAAGGTAACATTGTGTGCCCTACAATTATTGACAACTTTTCTTTATCAAAATCTGAATAGGTATCATAGTGCATTTGTGGTCCTCTGTAGCTCAATTGGTAGAGCATGGCACTTCTAACGCCAGGGTAGTGGGTTCGATCCCCGGGACCACCCATACGTAAAAATGTATGCACACATGACTGTAAGTCGCTTTGGATAAAAGCGTCTGCTAAATGGCATATTATATTATTATCATTTAGAAGATTTAAAGTTGGTTTGACACAAGTCTTTCCTACAGTAATTGCGGGATCTAATTTGCATCATGTCTGCATTCATCGTGCTCTCATTAATAAACAATACTTTGAAGGATACATGAAGCACAGCTTTTTGGAAGAGCTCTTGCTGTTAATGCTCAATTTTATCCCATCGTGTTGGTTACTCTTTACTACCGAGAGACCATTGTGGTGCAAAGCTTACCGTCAGCTCCACAAAGACAGTGGTGTGTGTTGGGGTCATGGTGGGGCTGAGCTGTAAAAAAAGAAACGCGTCATTCCATATAGTTAGCTTACATGTTATTGCAGAGCTTGAACAAAAAATTGCACTAATATGGAAGGCTATTTGTAACTGTCACAAATGACCTTCAAATGGTCAATAACCACATACTGAAAACTCTTGACTCATACCTCTCTGTCGTCTGATATAGTCCATGATCTTATGCTCCCCTTCACCAGGGACACTGGCATCAGACAAGATTACCTAGAATGAACAAAGAAAGTTTTCATATGAGCAATGATAGCAATATTGAATGCATATGACAGTGTCAGACCTGACCTTTGTTTAATTTCCAAGAAAAGACGCACTTCTTGAGAAATGTTCTAGGCCTTAACTGAGTAGAACAGACCAACAACACTTAAAAAAAGCAAGCTTTGACATGGTGGAAATAAGTCCAATCTTTTATAAATTAAATAGCACCAATGCATTAGAAATTGTTGTGGTCTTTTGCAGAGATGCCATCACCTTCTCAGAATAATACTTACTGTAATGTTACGCCATCCAGGGTCATTACTGAGTCTCTCTGCAACGTAGTAACGGAGACACTTTGCAAGGTTGTCCATGAACTCTGTGCCCTAGAGATAATTTTCAAATGAACAATGAATTTCCAGACAGTATTCACAATTTTGCCACTTCACCAAAAGAGCTGGTTCTTCTGCACTCAGAGAGTTAAAGTAACTGCCCAGTGTTTCCAGATTTAGATGAAATACGACCTATAGCCAATTAATTAATGGGAGAGGCTTCCATTAAAGAGCACCCTCCGTGCTCTGCTAGACAGGCAACAATATACACACACACAGAACAAAAATATAAATGCAACCACTTCAACGGTTTTACTGAGTTACAGTTCATTTAAGGAAATCAGTCAATTGAAACAAATTCATTAGGCCCTAATCTATGGATTTCACATGACTGGGCAGGGGTGCTGCCATGGGTGGGCCTGGGAGGGCATAGGCATAGTTACACGTGGTCTGCGGTTGTGAGGCCAGTTGGACCTACTGCCAAATTCTCTAAAAACGACATAGCGAAATTAACATTCAATTCTCTGGCAACAGTTCTGGTGGACATTCCTGCAGTCAGCATGCCAATTGCACAGTCCCTCAAAACTTGAGACATCTGTGGCATTGTGATGTGTGACAAAAGTGCACATTTTAGAGTGGCCTTTTATTGTCCCCAGCACAAGGTGCACCTGTGTAATGATCATGCAGTTTAATCAGCTTCTTGATATGCAACACCTGTCAGGTGGATGGATTATGTTGGCAAATGCTCACCAACGGGGATGTAAACAAATGTTTAACAACATTTGAGATACATAATATTTTTGTGCGTATGGAACATTTCTGGGATCTTTTATTTAAGCTCATGAAACATGGGACCAACACTTTACATGTTGCGTTTATATTGTTGTTCTGTGTGTATGTATATATTTGAGATTCTTCAAATATCCCCCCCTTTGCCTTGATGGCAGCTTTGTACACTCTTGGCATTCTCTCAACCAGCTTCATGAGGTAGTCACATTTACATTTAGCAGACGCTCTTATCCAGAGCGACTTACAAATTGGTGCATTCAACTTATGATAGCCAGTGGGACAACCACTTTTTTTTTTTTATGGGGGGGTGGGGGAGGGTAGAATGGTTACTTATATACTATTCCAGGTATTCCGTAAAGAGATAGGGTTTCAAGTATCTCTGGAAGGTGGTCATTGACTCCGCTGTCCTGGCGTCGTGGGGGAGCTTGTTTCACCATTGGTGTGCCAGAGCAGCAAATAGCTTTGACTGGGCTGAGCGGGAACTGTGCTTCCGTAGAGGTAGGGGGGCTAGCAGGCCAGAGGTGGATGAACGTAGTGCCCTCGTTTGGGTGTAGGGTCTGATCAGAGCCTGAAGGTAAGGAGGTGCCGTTCCCCTCACAGCTCCGTAGGCAAGCACCATGGTCTTGTAGTAGCGAGCCTCACCTGGAATGCATTTCAATTAACAGGTGTCCCAATGTTAAAAGTTAATTTGTGAAATTTCTTTCCTTCTTAATGTGTTTGAGCCAATCAGTTGTGTTGTGACAAGGTAGGGGGTGGGGGGGTATACAGAAGATAGCCCTATTTGGTAAAAGACCAAGTCCATATTATGGCAAGAACAGCTCAAATAAGCAAAGAGAAACAACAATCCATCATTACTTTAAGACATGAAAGTCAGTCAATAAGGAACATTTCAAGAACTTTGAACGTTTCTTTAAGAGCAGTCGCAAAAACCATCAAGCGCTATGATGAAACTGGCTCTCATGAGGACGGCCACAGGAAAGGAAGACCCAGAGTTACCTCTGATGCAGAGGACAAGTTCTTTAGAGTTACCAACCTCAGAAATTGCAGCCCAAATAAATGCTCCACAGACTTCAAGTAACAGACACATCAACTTCAACTGTTCAGAGGAGACTGTGTGAAATCAGGCTTTCCTGATCGAATTGCAGCAAAGAAACCACTACTAAAAGGTCACCAAAAAGAAGAAGAGACTTGCTTGGGCCAAGAAACAAGAGCAATGGACATTAGACCTGTAGAAATCTGTCCTTTGGTCTGGAGTCTAAATTTGAGATTTGTTCCAACCGCCGTGTCTTTGTGAGACGCGGTGTGGGTGAACGGATAATATCAGCATGTGTATTTCCCACCATAAAGCATGGAGGAGGTGATGTTATGGTGTGGGGGTGCTTTGCTGGTGACACTGTCTGTGATTTATTTAGAATTCAAGGCACACTTAACCAGCATGGCTACCACAGCATTCTGCAGCGATACGCCATCCCATCTGGTTTGGGTTTAGTGGGACTATCATTTGTTTTTCAACAGGACAATGACCCAACACACCTCCAGGCTATGTAAGGGCTATTTTACCAAGGAGAGTGAAGGAGTGCTGCATCAGATGACCTGGCCTCCACAATCCCCAGACCTCAACCAAATTGAGATGGTTTGGGATGAGTCCAACCGCAGAGTGAAGGAAGCGCAGCCAACAAGTGCTCAGCATATGTGGGAAATCCTTCAAGACTGTTGGAAAAGCATTCCAGGTGAAGCTGGTTGAAAGAATGCCAAGAGTGTGCAAAGCTGTCATCAAGGCAAAGGGTGGCTATTTGAAGAATCTCAAATATAAAATATATTTTTATTTGTTTAACACTTTTTTGGTTACTACATGATTCCATATGTGTTATTTCATACTTTTGATGTCTTCACTATCATTCTACGATGTAGAAAATAATAAAAATAAAAACCCTTGAATGAGTAGGTGTTCTAAAACTTTTGACCGGTAGAGAGAGAGAGAGAGAGTGTGAGTGTATGTACAGTGGGGAGAACAAGTATTTGATACACTGCAGATTTTGCAGGTTTTCCTACTTACAAAGCATGTAGAGGTCTGTAATTTTTTATCATAGGTACACTTCAACTGTGAGAGATTGAATCTAAATAAAAAATCCAGAAAATCACATTGTTTGATTTTTAAGTAATTAATTTGCATTTTATTGCATGACATAAGTATTTGATCACCTACCAACTAGTAAGAATTCCGGCTCTCACAGACCTGTTAGTTTTTCTTTAAGAAGCCCTCCTGTTCTCCACTCATTACCTGTATTAAATGCACCTGTTTGAACTCGTTACCTGTATAAAAGACACCTGTCAACACACTCAAACAGACTCCAACCTCTCCACAATGGCCAAGACCAGAGAGCTGTGTAAGGACATCAGGGATAAAATTGTAGACCTGCACAAGGCTGGGATGGGCTACAGGACAATAGGCAAGCAGCTTGGTGAGAAGGCAACAACTGTTGGCGCAATTATTAGAAAATGGAAGAAGTTCAAGATGACGGTCAATCACCCTCGGTCTGGGGCTCCATGCAAGATCTCACCTCGTGGGGCATCAATGATCATGAGGAAGGTGAGGGATCAGCCCAGAACTACACGGCAGGACCTGGTCAATGACCTGAAGAGAGCTGGGACCACAGTCTCAAAGAAAACCATTAGTAACACACTATGCCGTCATGGATTAAAATCCTGCAGCGCACGCAAGGTCCCCCTGCTCAAGCCAGCGCATGTCCAGGCCCGTCTGAAGTTTGCCAATGACCATCTGGATGATCCAGAGGAGGAATGGGAGAAGGTCATGTGGTCTGATGAGACAAAAATAGAGGTTTTTGGTCTAACCTCCACTCGCCGTGTTTGGAGGAAGAAGAAGGATGAGTACAACCCCAAGAACACCATCCCAACCGTGAAGCATGGAGGTGGAAACATCATTATTTGGGGATGCTTTTCTGCAAAGGGGACAGGACGACTGCACTGTATTGAGGGAAAGATGGATGGGGCCATGTATCGCAAGATCTTGGCCAACAACCTCCTTCCCTCAGTAAGAGCATTGAAGATGGGTCGTGGTTGGGTCTTCCAGCATGACAACGACCCAAAACACACAGCCAGGGCAACTAAGGAGTGGCTCCGTAAGAAGCATCTCAAGGTCCTGGAGTGGCCTAGCCAGTCTCCAGACCTGAACCCAATAGAAAATCTTTGGAGGGAGCTGAAAGTCTGTATTGCCCAGCGACAGCCCTGAAACCTGAAGGATGTGGAGAAGGTCTGTGTGGAGGAGTGGGCCAAAATCCCTGCTGCAGTGTGTGCAAACCTGGTCAAGACCTACAGGAAACGTATGTTCTCTGTAATTGCAAACACAGGTTTCTGTACCAAATATTAAGTTCTGCTTTTCTGATGTATCAAATACTTATGTCATGCAATAAAATGCAAATTAATTACTTAAAAATCATACAATGTGATTTTCTGGATTTTTGTTTTAGATTCCGTCTCTCACAGTTGAAGTGTACCTATGATACAAATTACAGACCTCTACATGCTTTGTAAGTAGGTAAACCTGCAAAATCGGCAGTGTATCAAATACTTGGTCTCCCCACTGTATGTATACACAATGAGGGAAAAAAGTATTTGATCCCCTGCTGATTTTGTACGTTTGCCCACTGACAAAGAAATGATCAGTCTATAATTTTAATGGTAGGTTTATTTGAACAGTGAGAGACAGAATAGCAACAACAAAATCCAGAAAAACGCATGTCAAAAATGTTATAAATTGATTTGCATTTTAATGAGGGAAATAAGTATAAGTACTCCCAGGTGTCTTTTATACAGGTAACGAGCTGAGATTAGGAGCACACTCTTAAAGGGAGTCCTCCTAATCTCAGCTTGTTACCTTATAAAATACACCTGTCCACAGAAGCAATCAATCAATCAGATTCCAAACTCTCCACCATGGCCAAGACCAAAGAGCTCTCCAAGGATGTCAGGGACAAGATTGTAGACCTACACAAGGCTGGAATGGGCTACAAGACCATCGCCAAGCAGCTTGGTGAGAAGGTGACAACAGTTGGTGCGATTATTCGCAAATGGAAGAAACACAAAAGAACTGTCAATCTCCCTCGGCCTGGGGCTCCATGCAAGATCTCTCCTTGTGGAGTTGCAATGATATAATGAGAACGGTGAGGAATCAGCCCAGAACTACACGGGAGGATCTTGGCAATGATCTCAAGGCAGCTGGGACCATAGTCACCAAGAAAACAATTGGTAACACACTACGCCGTGAAGGACTGAAATCCTGCAGCGCCCGCAAGGTCCCCCTGCTCAAGAAAGCACATATACAGGGCCGTCTGAAGTTTGCCAATGAACATCTGAATGATTCAGAGGAGAACTGGGTGAAAGTATTGTGGTCAGATGAGACCAAAATCGAGCTCTTTGGCATCAATTCAACTTGTTTGGCGGAGGAGGAATGCTGCCTATGACCCCAATAACACCATCCCCACCGTCAAACATGGAGGTGGAAACATTATGCTTTGGGGGTGTTTTTCTGCTAAGGGGACAGGACAACTTCACCGCATCAAAGGGACGATAGACAGGGCCATGTACCGTCAAATCTTGGGTGAGAACCTCCTTCCCTCAGCCAGGGCATTGAAAATGGGTCGTGGATGGGTATTCCAGCATGACAATGACCCAAAACACACAGCCAAGGCAACAAAGTAGTGGCTCAAGAAGAAGCACATTAAGGTCCTGGAGTGGCCTAGGCAGTCTCCAGACCTTAATCCCATAGAAAATCTGTGGAAGGAGCTGAAGGTTTGAGTTGCCAAACGTCAGCCTCGAAACCTTAATGACTTGGAGAAGATCTGCAAAGAGGAGTGGAACAAAATCCCTCCAGAGATGTGTGCAAACCTGGTGGCCAACTACAAGAAACGTCTGACCTCTGTGATTGTCAACAAGGGTTTTGCCACCAAGTACTAAGTCATGTTTTGCAGAGGGGTCAAATACTTATTTCCCTCATTAAAATGCAAATCAATTCATAACAGTTTTGACATGCGTTTTTCTGGATTTTTTAGTTGTTATTCTGTCTCTCACTGTTCAAATAAATCTACCATTAAAATTATAGACTGATCATGTCTTCGTCAGTGGGCAAATGTACAAAATCAGCAGGGGATCAAATACTTTTTCCCCCTCACTGTGTGTATCATATATATATATATACACACACAGTGGGGGGAAAAAAGTATTTAGTCAGCCACCAATTGTGCAAGTTCTCCCACTTAAAAAGATGAGAGAGGCCTGTAATTTTCATCATAGGTACACGTCAACTATGACAGACAAATTGAGCATTTTTTCCCCCAGAAAATCACATTGTAGGATTTTTAATGATTTTATTTGCAAATTATGGTGGAAAATAAGTATTTGGTCACCTACAAACAAGCCAGATTTCTGGCTCTCACAGACCTGTAACTTCTTCTTTAAGAGGCTCCTCTGTCCTCCACTCATTACCTGTATTAATGGCACCTGTTTGAACTTGTTATCAGTATAAAAGACACCTGTCCACAACCTCAAACAGTCACACTCCAAACTCCACTATGGCCAAGACCAAAGAGCTGTCAAAGGACACCAGAAACAAAATTGTAGACCTGCACCAGGCTGGGAAGACGGAATCTGCAATAGGTAAGCAGCTTGGTTTGAATAAATCAACTGTGGGAGCAATTATTAGGAAATGGAAGACATACAAGACCACTGATAATCTCCCTCGATCTGGGGCTCCACGCAAGATCTCACCACGTGGGGTCAAAATGATCACAAGAACGGTGAGCAAAAATCCCAGAACCACACGGGGGGACCTAGTGAATGACCTGCAGAGAGCTGGGACCAAAGTAACAAAGCCTACCATCAGTAACACACTACGCCGCCAGGGACTCAAATCCTGCAGTGCAAGACGTATCCCCCTGCTTAAGCCAGTACATGTCCAGGCCCGTCTGAAGTTTGCTAGAGTGCATTTGGATGATCCAGAAGAGGATTGGGAGAATGTCATATGGTCAGATGAAACCAAAATAGAACTTTTTGGTAAAAACTCAACTCGTCGTGTTTGGAGGACAAAGAATGCTGAGTTGCATCCAAAGAACACCATACCTACTGTGAAGCATGGGGGTGGAAACATCATGCATTGGGGCAGTTTTTCTGCAAAGGGACCAGGATGACTGATCTGTGTAAAGGAAAGAATGAATGGGGCCATGTATCGTGAGATTTTGAGTGAAAACCTCCTTCCATCAGCAAGGTCATTGAAGATGAAACGTGGCTGGGTCTTTCAGCATGACAATGATCCCAAACACACCGCCCGGGCAACGAAGGAGTGGCTTCGTAAGAAGCATTTCAAGGTCCTGGAGTGGCCTAGCCAGTCTCCAGATCTCAACCCCATAGAAAATCTTTGGAGGGAGTTGAAAGTCTGTGTTGCCCAGCGACAGCCCCAAAACATCACTGCTCTAGAGGAGATCTGCATGGAGGAATGGGCCAAAATACCAGCAACAGTGTGTGAAAACCTTGTGAAGACTTATAGAAAACGTTTGACCTGTGTCATTGCCAACAAAGGGTATATAACAAAGTATTGAGAAACTTTTGTTATTGACCAAATACTTATTTTCCACCATAATTTGCAAATAAAGTCATTAAAAATCCTACAATGTGATTTTCTGGATTTTTTTTTCTCATTTTGTCTGTCATAGTTGACGTGTACCTATGATGAAAATTACAGGCCTCTCTCATCTTTTTATGTGGGAGAACTTGCACAATTGGTGGCTGACTAAATACTTTTTTCCCCCACTGTATGTATGTATGTATGTATGTATGTATGTATATATATATATATATATATATAAGCTCACTGAATAATTCATAAAAACACAAACAACTTCACAGATCTTCATTGTAAAGGGTTTAAACACCGTTTCCCATGCTTGTTCAATTAACCATAAACAATTAATGAACATGCACCTGTGGAACGGTCGTTAAGACACTAACAGCTTACAGACGGTACGCAATTAAGGTCACAGTTGAAAACTTAGGACACTAAAAAGAGGCCTTTCTACTGACTCTGAAAAACACCAAAAGAAAGATGCCCAGGGTCCCTGCTCATCTGAGTGAATGTGCCTTAGGCATGCCGCAAGGAGGCATGAGGACTGCAGATGTGGCCAGGGCAATAAATTGCAATGTCCGTACTGTGAGACACCTAAGACAGCACTACAGGGAGACAGGACGGACAGCTGATCGTCCTCGCATTGGCAGACCACGTGTAACAACACCTGCACAGGATCGGTACATCCGAATATCACACCTGCGGGACAGGTTCAGGATGGCAACAACTGCCCGAGTTACACCAGGAATGCACAATCCCTCCATCAGTGCACAGACTGTCTGCAATAGGCTGAGAGAGGCTGGACTGAGGGCTTGTAGGCCTGTTCTCACCAGACATCACCTGCAACAACGTCGCCTATGGGGACAAACCCACCGTCGCTGGACCAGACAGGACGGGCAAAAAGTGCTCTTCACTGACAAGTCCCGGTTTTGTCTCACCAGGGGTGATGGTAGGATTCGCATTTATCGTTGAAGGAATGAGCGTTACACCGAGCCCTGTACTCTGGAGCAGGATCGATTTGGAGGTGGAGGGTCCGTCATGGTCTGTGGCGGTGTGTCACAGCATCATCGGACTGAGCTTGTAGTCATTGCAGGCAATCTCAATGCTGTGTGTTACAAGGAAGACATCCTCCTCCCTCATGTGGTACCCTTCCTGCAGGCTCATCCTGACATTACCCTTCAGCATGACAATGCCACCAGCCATACTGCTCGTTCTGTGCGTGATTTCCTGCAAGACAGGAATGTCAGTGTTCTGCCATGGCCAGCGAAGAGCCCGGATCTCAATCCCATTGACCACATCTGGGACCTGTTGGATCAGAGGGTGAGGGCTAGGGCCATTCCCCCCAGAAATGTCAGGGAACTTGCAGGTGCCTTGGTGGAAGAGTGGGGTAACATCTCACAGCAAGAACTGGCAAATTTGGTGCAGTCCATGAGGAGGAGATGCACTGCAGTACTTAATGCAGCTGGTGGCCACACCAGATACTGACTGTTACTTTTGATTTTGACCCCCCTTTGTTCAGGGACACATTATTCAATTTCTGTTAGTCACGTCTGTGGAACTTGTTCAGTTTATGTCTCAGTTGTTGAATCTTGTTATGTTCATATAAATATTTGCCCATGTTAAGTTTGCTGAAAATAAACGCAGTTGACAGTGAGATTACGTTAATTTTTTTGCTGAGATATATATATATATATATATATATATATATGGGAAATAAGTATGTTAAAATAAACTTTTCTGCGTTGGAATGGTGTGGCCATTCCACAACAGAATGGTGTGGGTGTATACCGTATATTCATGTGAGTAGACCACTGATTGGCCAACTCATCCTCCTCCGGAGGCTGACATCATCCTCTATGAGGAAAGCAAGCAATTTTGAAACTTTGTTTTTAAAAGTGTTTTTTTCTCTAATTTATGCGTCGGCCACAAATACGAGTGTAGGATGACTCAACAACATTATCTGAGTATGAGTTAACAGAATATAAAGTTTTAAAAGTGAGATTTTCACTGGATAGTTACTTTAAGCTATTGGCGACAGAAACACACAGCCTTAAAAAAAGACAAGAAAAAGCCTCATACTTACTGGGGTGATACAGTTGCTGTCAAATCTCTCCTTGATTTCAACCGGTGGAAGATACCCTCCTAAAATGTGAAGATGGGGAAAAAAAGTTTGATATATTTAGTATGTAATTCTGTTATGGCAAATATTTGTAATTAAATAAGTGTTTAACAAAGACTCCCATCTAAAGGCTATTGGAAGGATAAAAAAAGTTCTGAAAATATAATCACCTCTCCCGAGGATCTCCTCTCGGATGCGGGATTTCTCCTCAACCAGTTCCACTCCTTCCTTGGAGGCACGGAATCGCCTGGAGCGCTGCTGGTTCATTTTGGCACGAGGGGCCTGTTCAGAGATAAACATGGTAATTGGAAGGTCATTGGCCAACATATGTATAACAAATTGTTTTGTACAAAACTGTAGAAAATCTAAATATGGATTAATAGAAAAACGTTATTCTCATGAAAAGAAAGCAGCAGAATTTACCACTCCATCAATAGCCATGTAGAGAACCCTTCTGGGTCGCACAATATTGAAGAGCCGATCCATATATTCAAAGATGGCAACCATCATTTCATCTTCATTTTTGGGCGCAGCCCTGTGAAAGTGAAGTAGAGTTAGAGGGTTTATACTACATTATCATCACAATTCAAGGTAATGTACAAGAGTACTACCAATACCATGGGCCCTGGTCAAAAGTAATGCACTATAAAGGGAATAGGGTGTCATTTGGGACGAAACCACATTCTATTTAATTCTGTTTGTAGGACTAACTTGTCTTCAGGATGTGTACAGGGGTGAATGATCCCATTCATGTCCAAGTACAAATTGTCAAACTCCACTTCATTTGGATTCGGTTTGCTGGTATCAACAGGAATCCGTACGCCATTACATTCCTTGGACTGGGAGTAAAAGGGAAAATGAAACCAAAATGAATTTAACATTCTTCCTATTATCAAATGCACGTCTGTTTATTTACTGTTGAAATTAATTGCAATGACGCAACTAATTATAAATAAGGTGGCTAGATAGATGTAACGTTACTTGGCTATGCATTAGATTCCGTAACATGCCAAATCAAAACATTGACGGGTTGTCTGGCATTAGATTGTTCGCAAACCAATGGAATGCCAACTCGATTCTTGCGCAACACAGGCAGCAAGGCTCTGCACGCGAGTTTCTGTGTCAATCACTGCAAGTAGCATAGCTAACGTTAGCTATCTAACTGCGTGCATCCCACATTGTTCATTCAATCGACAAATGTTATGATAATATGCTCTGCTAGCTATAGCGTTGATAAGAGAAACGGATAAAAGCTAGCAAATTTGATATCTAAAGTGCAATAACGTTAGTACCTGCCTAAGGCACATAATTACTACACGGTCTTAAAAATACGCAACAGTACTAGCTAGCTGACTGCAAACACGTACCCTCTCCTCAGTACAATGAACAACAATCGTAGAATATTTCCGACTCAACCAACGAAAAAATGCGGGGACTCCCATCTCCCGTAGTTTCACAATACGCTACACCCAACTATAAATTATGACATATATTTAAAATTACTTAGTTAAAACAACTGCTGTAGAAATATCTAGCTACGCGTTAACAAATAAACTCATGGCCACGGTTTATTTCCGGGTTATGGGGTTTTCATCTTCCGGGAGCAATTGTGTACAGGACGGAGTGTTGCCAACTCCTCAGTAAGGAAAGTAACTATTGGCTGCCCTAAAAGTCGCTAGAAGTCCCTAAATGACGTAATCGCCTAATTTGCATAATTGGCCATGTGCATGTAATTGTGATGGATGCTGTAGGAGAGAGGAATAATGTCCTGGGAGAGACAAAAAGTGAGTAACAAACATCCTAAATATGTTTAGAACTACAAATGAACTTTCTTCTGAAGATTCTTGTTTTAAAAAATATTTTACATTATGTCCCGCCCTGAATGTAAGCTAGGGCGGAATCAGCCAGCGGCGGCTTCCCGCATGCGCGATTCATTTGCAGTCTGGACGCGGAGGGGTGAACATCTCCTGCTCTGACTGCAGCTGGGAGGGACTGCTGCGCGAGGACTGGGCCGCCTGTGAGTGCTTTGGGACTGGGGTGGGGCCCACGGCAGCGGGGCCCACGGCAGCACCCGCTGCTCGTTGAGAAGAGCTTTCACGTCAGAGTCTCCAAAAGTCTCCAATAACACCAGAAAAAGTCGCTAGATTTGTCGCTAGTCGCTTTTTTGAAAATGTGTCGCTAGAGTGGTCTGAATACTCGTTAAATATAGCGACATTGCACAGCTAAACTGAATGCTGTGGGAAAATAAAGGCTACCTGACAGGCTCACTTTCCCGTTGAACCCCTCTTCTCTAATCTGCTCGACATAGAACAAAATAGAGGTATGATAGATAGAGATTGAGACATGACATGTAGTATTTTCATATTTGAGTATACACTTTACATATTAATGCGAAATTCCTGTAATTCAAAGCCTTTTACATTTAATACAGCTTGTGTCATGCTAATTTAGCTTTTTGCGACCGACAGAAACAACTTCGAAGACGACCAACACAGCATGTTAAATTCTCAAAAGTTGTGGGTGAGAAAGCTGCACCGCTCTGTCAACATTGCTCTGTGCTTATTATCGGATGTATTAGATTACGAAATCCAACTTTTTGGATATACTCTTAATGAAACCTTAGCGAGAGACCCCACTGAATGATTCAGAACATGAATAATCATTTGTTTTGGTCAAATGTAATTCATAACATAAGGAAGTGATATTTCATCACCAAAGCACATTTTTACCCACACACCCTATCTTTTGGTTGAAAAGGTCAGTGGTGAAACGTCACAACTCTGCAAACAACATTTTCTCTGAGTTTCCCACTTGTAAATTCCGACTTGGAGGGTCATTCAAGTGAAATGTCCCACTGGGAACTAGCTTCCGATAGCACGTGAACATGGCATCATTCCTGAGGTCTGACTTCTCCCACATGCTGATCTCTGATGTCTCTTACTAAGGAAATTACCTCGATAACAGCATTTTTAGGCAGTTAAATGCAACTACAAAACGTTATTTATAAAAAGCAATCTATTAATATGGTTTTTGAACACTATAATTTGTTTGCAAGCATGATAGCTGTACCTTTAGTTTATGGTTGACGCAGCTTGTTGGCCATTAGCCAATTCTCAATTAGTTCAAACGTTCAATACAACTGGGAACTCGGAAATCTCCGACTTCCGACTTCAGTGCGTTCAAAACATCTGGGAACTTGGAAAAAAACGAGCTCCGACTGGGAAAAATAGTTTTGAACGTTCATCCAACTCGGAATTCCAACTCGGGAACTCAGTCCTCTTTCTAGAGCTCTGACTTTCCGACCTGAAGATCACTGATGTCATGATTTGACCTCGTATTTTTCAGAGTTCCCAGTTATTTTGAACGCGGCAAAAGCATGCATGTGAATGCATTCAACTGGTATTTACGACTTCACAGCTTGTAATTACCACCTTCTTATTTGGTAATGAACGCAGCATGATACTCAAATAGGCTTTAACCATAGACTTACAGTAGATAGACATCGCATCTTTGTATCTCTCCCATTATGGCGTCCGTGAAAGCATGGGCAGCACCATTGAAGCCATCTCCATTTTGGAGTAATACATTTTCTACTTCTACCACGTCTGAGTTGGTAAACACTGAATTAATTGTTTGTGTACTCTGATTGGTTGCAGGTCTGACAGAGACCAGAGACTGAGTCTCCACCTGGGGTTTATTCATTACGCCCATTCTGTTGCAAAACATTTAGTCTGTTGCAAAACACTGCTCTATCCAAATAACCGCCTTACACAAAAGCCATTAGCCCAACAATGCACTAAAGGATTACATGTAATGATCAGAGGCGAATTGGCTCTGGCAGCCAAAACAGCCAAAAACTCCATCTAAACATGAATCGATTCCAGATTGTGGTACGGTTCTAGAAACATAAATCGTTCTACTTTCATATCACATCATAATGATTTCACAAATGCTAAATATACACTTAGTGCACACCAGAGGTGGAAAAAGTACTAAATTGTCATACTTGAGTAAAAGTAAAGATACCTTCATAGAGAATGACTCAGCTAAAAGTGAAAGTCATCCAGTAAAATACTACTTGAGTAAAAGTATAATAGTATCTGATTTTAAATATGCATTATATGGCCAAAAGTATCTGGAATCAACGTCAGCACAAGAACTGTTAGTCGGGAGCTTCATGAAATGGGTTTCCATAGCCAAGCAGCCGCACACAAGCCTAAGATCACCATGCACAATGCCAAGCGTCAGCTGGAGTGGTGTAAAGAAAACCGCCATTGGACTCTGTAGCAGTGGAAATGTGTTCTCTGGAGTGGTGAATCACGCTTCCGACGGACGAATCTGGGTTTGGCGGATGCCAGGAGAACGCTACCTGCCCCAATACAAAGTGCCAATTGTAAAGTTTGGTGGAGGAGGAATAATGGTCTGGGGCTGTTTTTCATGGTTCGGGCCAGGCCCCTTAGTTCCAGTGAAGGGAAATCTTAATGCTACAGCGTACAATGACATTCTAGACGATTCTGTACTTCCAACTTTGTAGTAACAGTTTGGGGAAGGCCCTTTCCTGTTTCAGCATGACAATGCCCCTGTGCACAAAGCGAGGTCCATACAGAAATGGTTTGTTGAGGTCGGTGTGGAAGAACTTGACTGGCCTGTACAGAGCCCTGATCTCTACCCATCGAACACCTTTGGGATGAATTGGAACGGCAACTGCGAGCCAGGCCTAATCGCCCAACATCAGTGCCCGAACTCACTAATGCTCTTGTGGTTGAATGGAAGCAAGTCCCCGCAGCAATATTCCAACATCTAGTGGAAAGCCTTCCTAGAAGAGTGGAGGCTGTTATAGCAGCAAAGGGGGGACCAACTCTCGAATGAGATGTTCGACGAGCAGGTGTCCACATACATTTGGCCATGTAGTTTACTTAAGTACAGTGGTGGAAAAAGTACTTTGTCATACTTGAGTAAAAATAAATTCCTTATATTAAGCAAACCAGACCGCACAATTTAAAATTTTTTTATTTACGGACAGCCAGGGGCACACTCCAACACTCAGACATCACAAACACAGTATTTGTGTCTGCCAGATCAGAGGGAGTAGGGATGACAACACGTTATATGGATAGGTGAATTAATTTTACCATATAGAGCCCCACACTGGTGGTCTCATTATACCCATAAAACCTAGCGGTCAAACAGGAAAATGATTCCAATCGTATTTCCTCCATCAATTATTCCCATAGGGAATTTTAGAAACTGTGTTTCATGTAGGCTTACACTGGCGTGACGTTTTGATAACCATGTAAATCGACTTTTATCAATATAAAACGAAAATGATTGGAACCATTACCTTGTTTGACGGCTAGGTTTTATGGGTATTATGACTCATACTGTGGTACTCTATTGCTGTACTGCCTGAACATTCGAAATGTAATGAGTACTTTTGGGTGTCAGGAAAAATGTATGGGAATAAAAAGTACATATTGTCTTTAGGAATGTAGTGGAGTAAAAGTTGTCAAAAATATAAATAGTAAAGTACTGATACCCCAAAAAATGACTTAAGTAGTACATCCAAGTATTTTTACTTAGTTACTTTACACCACTGCTATATACTGTTTTAACACAGTTGCAGCCAACAGTATTTTTTGAAACCAAAATGAATTTAACATTCTTCCTATTATCAAATGCACGTCTGTTTATTTACTGTTGAAATTAATTGCAATGACGCAACTAATTATAAATAAGGTGGCTAGATAGATGTAACGTTACTTGGCTATGCATTAGATTCCGTAACATGCCAAGTCAAAACATTGACGGGTTGTCTGGCATCAGATTGTTCGCAAACCAATGGAATGCCAACTCGACTCTTGCGCAACACAGGCAGCAAGGCTCTGCACGCGAGTTTCTGTGTCAATCACTGCAAGTAGCATAGCTAACGTTAGCTGTAGAATTATCATTCAAGATTTTGTGGTAAAAGTGCAATTGCAATACACTGTTCCTCTGCATCTAGGGATATTTCCAAATGGGTTATAACAATAACGTGTTGCACCAGGATAATAGCTACAATAGCTACACATTTTAGATAGAAAATGGGGGCTCCTATATTCTGCATGGCCTCCTTCAGATGAAAAAGTCCATCAGCTGTTCCACTTCAGACAGCAACGGGCTGATTTCAAGATAGTCCTATTACCACAAAGAGCTACTGATGGAACACACTTGCCTACTCCAATTCTCAATTTCCATAAACATTCATTTTGTGGGGAATTTGATTGCGTAAGATTTAGCCAATGATCTGAGTGTCTGAGACAGACACACACTGAGAGGAATGGGGGAATATGATGCAAATCACTGCAGGCATTTCAGACTCCGTGTTCTCGAACAGGTCATGTATATTTCATCGGGCCAAGCTCAGATGGGTTGGGCCAGCTTTTTAGATGTTCAAACTAACATGGATAACTTAATCTGTTAGTGACAGATAGTATTAGGTTGCGTTTACACAGGTAGCCCAATTCTGATCTTTTTTCACTAATTGGTATTTTGACCAATCAGATCAGATCTTTTGCCAATAATTGGGCAAAAGACCAG